CCATCCCAGTACCACCACCTCACTAATCACTATCTCTGGCTGATTCTCTCCTCCTTTCATTATTCATTCATCCTTCACCTCCTCCAGTTCGACTTTTACAAACACTGTTTAAACTTTGTATAAGTTCTTCATCATCATTATCTCGTTCACATCTTCGACAGCCGTCTCGGCTCCCCTCCCACTATGGAGCAGGTTCATGGCGTTGATGTCAGCTGGATGACCCATGGTGCTTCTAAAGGCATGTTTCCTAGTCGCCACTCGCCCAAACTCCAAAACGCGCATCGCGTCTTTTGCCCTGATGTTGTAGACCAAGGCCTAGAGCTAACAACGCAAATAGATAAAGCAGCCAGGAATTCACCACCCACCAAAACTCCCTCAGCAGCTCTTCCAAGACAGATCCCTGGCGCAAACTCTAGACCGAAGTCGCCGGCTTCGGCTCCCACAGATAATGCCTCCGTAGACTCCAATACCTCGACCAATGGCCAGTCCACGACTCCAAATGGCTCTTCAGCTACAAAACGAATTTCGCGCTCCAATTCTATAGATAAACAGACTCCTCCTGGCACATCGCCTCACCGTCGCAATTCATGGTTTTCCAATATCTCTGCCAAATTCTCTTCCTCTAATACACCACCAGCCGGTCCTCCTTCGCCAGCTCCCATACCAGAATCGTCGCCCGTGCCACCGTCAGACCCTGTTCCTCCCAAGTTGCCACATACGAAGAACGCCGTGCTACCCCATGCTGCGAAACCTGAGGGCGATGGTCCTTATATACCAGCTCCGCCAAGAAGTGGACAGCCCGGCTTCTTGGGCATGTTCCGGCGCCTGTCTTCTTCCAACAATGGGGCTCTTTCACAAAGCGGAAAACTCGGTCATGGCCTTGTCGACAGGGTGGTTCTGAATGTCGACCAAAGTCGAGAAAGATGTCCTATATCGGAGCTCTCTTGTGCCAAACTAAGAAGAGTCGCATTCTGTGTGGATGTTGAGATTGCGCCTCAGCCAAAATATGCTGACCACGATTCTTCATTACCTAAAACAACCGACAAGACTCAGAAAAAGAAGTTGACTGAGAAGGGTGAAGGGGAGGCCCTTAAGAACCCAAAGGCTGTGGAAGAGCAGAAGGAAACCAACGGAGAGGTCAAGACTACAGGAGAAACATTGCCAAAGGAACCCGAGAAGGAAGGGAGTGAAGCTCCTCAACAAGTGAGGGAAGTGGCCAATGGCAGTCCAACTCCTGTGTCAGAGAAAAAGGAGGAAAACACTAAGAAAAAGGAAAAGAAGAAGAAGAGCGAGGAAGAGCGCAAGGCCAGAAAGGAGAAGAAGCGAAAACTCGCCGAAGCCAACGGATCCATTCCCATGGAAATTCATTATGACAGTAGTGATGACTCGGCCAAAACAAAAACGCCGCCCAATGACCCGGAGCCCAACAAGCCTCAGACGGCACCTACAACGAACCCTGTCCGAGTATACCGAAGATGCTGCCAGCTTCGCGAAACGCCAATTCTGAAAAAGATTACTGAGCAACTCACTGATACGGCCAACTACAATGCCTCAACTGGCACGGTTAACAAACTTGATCTAACAGATTATTGGCTCCAATTACCGGATCTTATCACTCTTGGGGATTACCTTGCAATCGTTCCTGTGAGGGAAATATTATTGGAAAATAGCGGACTTGACGACGAAGGTCTACGAGTTATCCTTGCTGGTCTGCTCGCTGCCAAGAGACCAGCTGTAAGGCGGCGGAAACCCAAGCACGACGATGAAGAGCAAGGCGGCGTAGTAGAGCGACTTGTCCTGAAGAACAACAAAATAGGTCCTGATGGATGGAAGTATCTCTCGCTTTTCATCTATTTATGCCGATCGCTTAAATTCCTCGACGTCTCTCATATTCAGTTCCCGCGCCAGCCTCAATCACAACAAAACGGGTCACTCAACAATGGAGTTCATATTCCTAGAAGTATCTCGAGTATCTTCTCCACTGCACTGGGTGAGCGACTAGGAGGATCAACGCTCGAATTGGTCAACATTGGCCAAACGGGTTTGACAATGGGGCAGCTTGGAACAATCGTGGACGGCCTGATTCAATGTGGCGTGAAACGACTCGGTTTGTCACACAACCAGATCGATGCAGAGGGCATGAAGCATGTTGTCAAGTTTCTCACAGAAGGTCACTGCGAAGGTCTCGACTTGGGTGGCAATGATCTCAGCCAACATACTGAAGCCTTGGCTACAGCTATCGAAAATGATACGACGCTCTGGGGACTCGGCATGGCAGATTGTAACTTGACACCGTCAGCACTCTGCAAAATCTTGCCTGTGATGGTCAAGCTACCCAATTTGCGATTCTTTGATTTGTCCCAAAACCCAGCATTGTTCCAGTCAACCCCCAGCGCTGTTGGTCTGCTCAGAAGGTACGTACTTGATTACTCTCAGCTTGACTTAGGTATACTGACTATACATAGGTATCTTCCCAAGATGAAGGTATTGAAACGTATGCATCTAGAAGATGCCGCGATGACACCAGAGCAAGCGATCGCAATAGTGGAAGTGCTCCCTGAGGTTAAAACGCTGGCGCATATCAATATCACCAACAACGCTGAGATTGTCAAGCTTGCCGATGCTAACACAGAGGAAGCGCAAGAAGAAGCTTGCGCTCTTTATGCTTCTTTACTTGCCGCAGCTCGTGTGTCCAAGAGTCTCATTTGTGTGGATATCGAGGTTCCTAGTGAACATGCTGGAGAGATTGTCAAGGCCATGGCCAAGCAAGTTGTTGCCTACTGCCTTCGTAACATGGAACGACTTCCCGATACCGACACAGGTGCGGTTATGGCATCGACGCTTGCCGAGAACAATCTGGAGGCTGGCGAGAATAAGTTGCCACCTTATCCTGATGTTCTCGCGCATCTTGTTGGACACGACGTACTGGACCAAGACGAAAGCGACGACGACAACGGTTCAGCGCCTGACGAGGACTATGTCATCGGAGGTACTGGTGTGGTCAAGGCGCTTGCTTGTTGCTTGAAGAATCGTGGCGATGAGTCGCGGAGACAATCAGGCGAGTTTATTCGTGAGATTGAGAATGGTGCATCAAGCCCTTCGGCGAACTTGTCCACAGGTGGAAAGGCCAAGGACATGTCCAAGCACTTGTTGATGGGTGCACGCAAGATTCGCCAACGTCTCCAGCCGGCGCTCATTAAAGCAAGGGCAAATCCTGACGATGATCACAACCTCCGTAGGTTAACCTTCCTCGACGACACTTTGCAAGGCATTATCAAGCGTTTCGAGGACGAGTACCCAGATACCCGTGAGGATCCTGCATTACAAAAGCGTCCTCGTGCAGGTACGAAGGGGAGCGAGGAGTTGCCGATTACATTACCACTCGAGGATTCTGCCTTGGCTCTATCAGACAACGAAGATGAGGGCGAAATTACCGGAGGCAAGCCGCTATCGAGATCCAACTCTATGGCCAAGATCTTGGTTGAAGAAGAAGGCCGAATTCTCCGTGCTGGTCATCGCTTCCGTGCCGGTCTCATCAAGGAGGAGCAGATTGACCTACTCAGTACAATCGATGATATCGGCTCCGATCCTAAACATGTCAGGATGCTTGTGGAACTGGCCGAGGATCTTGGTGGAGAAATCTGGGAACTTGTGAAGGAGAAGGGCCCCGTGAGGGCATTCAAGGAGGATCGAGATATTGCTTTCAAGTGCATGGAGGCAAGTGATCCAGAACACTGGGCTCGATTCGCCGAGGCGCAGTACAAGTCTCGCGCAAACATTAGTATTCCATCAGCAGCGAAGCAGGGAGAGGCAGTGGATGAAAGCGCGGTTGCCGATTGAACTAGTGGCCTGTAGGAAAGATGCAGAGATGGTGCTTGTATAAACTGCTGCTAGGAGAAGATCGAGTCATGACGGGATTGATCATGGCCTGTGCATCACCACGAAGAGAGATAAGGGTGTGGATTGACATGATATGTTATGCGCATAGAAGTCAGGGCGCTCGTTAACGATTGACTTTTCTTTTCCTCCATTTTTTTGCTTTGAGCGGGGAGTTATGAATAGGTTCTCTTTCCAGAGAGAAATGGCTATACTATACTATCAATGCGTGAAAGGGATCACAAATAGGTGCATATTCTTGGGAACTGAGTGAATAATATAGCATCACGAACGGAAATCGATCTTGGTCAAGGGGTGTTCAAGAGTGTGATACTACTTCGTATTGTAATGAGGTTTCCATCGAGAATTACCAGCCCTGGATTTGTTCTGGGGAACAATGCTTAATTTGATCCTCAGTGGATATTCACCATGTAACCTTGAATAAGTGCATGCTATGAAGTTCTATTGGCGATGCGGCATGGCCGGGATGAGCATGGGGCAGAGGAGAAGCAAGTCATATTTCTAGATCGTAGCCTTTTAATTAATTAATTCTTTTGACGCCAGAGACGACGGGAAGAAAGGAAAGAAGTTCTAGTTCACCTGCTGTTTCGTTTTGGTCAAAATCGTGGGATTCGGTTGGTCCGCGACTTGGAGTCCTTAATTCGGCCTGCAACGTGAGCTATTCTGCTTTGGGAAACATGAAACGCGAACCATGCCTTGTGGGGCAACAGGGGTAGGACAGCCTCTTGCATCTCCAACGTCTCGAGCTTCAGCTTTCAATTAATATTTTACTCTTTCCAACTTCTGTGCGCGTTTCTTTCTTTTTAGTCGTTTCACGGCTTGAGAATCGAGTCACTCCATTCGTCCAAATGTCTCTAGAGTCCGCTTTTATTCCCGTCTTGAATGCACAGCCTCATGTCGATGCCTCTTTTCAGGGTCATGTCTGACAGGAGAGGGAAGAGGAATCATGATGATGCGCTCATTGACCAAGCCGTGATGTGATGCTAAGTCCAGAAACTTCACATTGGGTCTAGACTGTATTGAAGTCTAGACAATGCGGTTGAAGTAGCAGTTGTGCAGTCATCGCCTTCGTCATTGGGCTGTGGGATCTGCGTTTCGTCCGTCTTAATACAGGAGTTATATGTGCAACATGGTTGCTGAGCTGGCAATGCGAGGACAGCAAACCACGGGTTCGATTGATTCTTTGCTACCCAACCATCAAGCACTCTCGACCGTTCTCTCTTTGTTGCTATCGTTATCAGTTTGTCCATGTTGAAGCAACGAAACGACCCAGCATATCAATGAGTGGGTTGATGCTTACTCTATTTTCCAGGCTCCTGGCCATGGCAATCATAGCTGATGTCGAAACAGAAGCACGACCCTCATCTGCGGGTTACCCGTTGGCATCAGGCTGGGTTGATTGGCTTCCATGCGTCCATCTAATTCATGCAAATGCTTGCAAGGCCCATGCTAGGGTCCCATGCGGGATCCTTGTACAGCCTAGGATCCCTCAACCACTTCTCTGGTTACGAGATCTTGAGCGTGTCTCTCGTCTCTTTTGGTCCAACGACTTCCCGGTCCTCTCTCCCCTCTTCTTTCTCTTCCATTCTACGGACCTTCTTTTCATTCGTTACGGTCTGTCGACTGTTGATTATTCGTTCGTTTCTTACACTCATTTACCATTCTGTTTAGTCTGTCGTTTCCTTGGTATATTTGCTATCCTTGAGGCGAGCTGCGCTCATCATTGTAGTCTTTCCACCCTTTTTGACCATAGAGCATCATTTTCACCTCAGATGTCACCCAGTGATCAACGCACCTTCACATTTTGACTGTTGACCAACGAGTGTCGTACATGATCGATCTCCCTTGGCTTACATCTTCGAATCGAATTCGCCACATTGTGTGATAGCCTCTGAACAAGTCACACCTCAACCTCCGTCATCTTATAAACCAAACCGCCTATACGATGGAGGGGCCTCCTTCTACCCGGTCATTCAGACCATGGGTGTGGGAGAAGCCCGGCTCAGTCATGAACTTTGAAAACTTCGAAAGGTAACCAAACAACAGTAGTCATGTCTGACTACGACATCCAACTAATTCGAGATAGTATCTCAGAAGAACCTGGCTCCGCGACGACTACACGACCCCCGACTAGTCGGACTCGAGGCTTCACCACTTCCTCAGGACGGCAGACTGTCAGATGGCCTTTTCACAGCTTCAGCAACTCACGATCTTCCATTCCAAATTACCCTCGCCGACCCTCCAACTCTCGGTCTATCCCGCACAGTTCGGGCTCTTTTCCTCGCCGTGCTGCCGGCAGCATCAGTCGCTCTGTCTCTAGCGTTCTCGGTAGCGACATCATCCCTGACTATGTAGTCAACTTTATGCGCGGCGAGACGCCGGAGACTCTCGCCCGAAGGCATCGCATTCCAGATAGTCCCGAGCCGGGACAGTTTCAACGCCCACGGGAATCTCAACTCGACTTTATTCACTCAGCCTCGAGTACACCAGACAACTCGAGGCCGGGTACTCCGAGGGCTGAACGGGAGAAGATGCTTATGGAGGAACGACCGCAGCCTACCAGATCTCTTATGACAGGATGGAGAGCTGGTGTTGCAGCCAACATGTTCCTGGCGTTCCTGATTCTTGTGGCTTCTGTCGCTTGTCTCGCCCTCGCCTCAGCCCAGGGACATATGTCAACATGGGAATCGTCATTAATGGAGGGTAGCTCGACTACAGTTGAAGGTATCGCTAGAGGAATCTTGGCAGCCGTGAATGTGTTTGCCATCATGCTCATCGCTGGAGCCAACTATGTCGTTCAAATTCTCAACAGCCCAACTCGTGCCGAGGTAGACAACGCCCACTCAACCTTCAAGTGGCTCGACATCGGTATTCCTTCTCTCCGAAACATGTCACTCATCTCTTCGACCAGGGCAACGTTGTCAGGTATCATGATGGCGTTTGCCCTCCTTTCCCAAGTAATGTATGCGTCACAGAATCTGACGGCATGGATTGTCACTAACAATTTGAAAGATATAATTCCATAATTATTACTACCGAACAAGCCGAGAAATCTAAGTCATCGCTTAATGTTAACGGACCTCTTCTCGCCGCTATTACGCTAATCAATGTCGTTCTCATCCTCACATATGCCATTGCTGTCGCATTAGCACTCACCAGACAAGTATTCAGCCCACTCGTCACGCTCGGTGATGCTCTGAGCTCCTTTCTTGCCGACCCCGATGTCAGCACTCAGGATTCATGCCTCATCACCAAGGAAGAGATCAAGAAGGGATTATGGGGAGATCGAGACGGCAAGTACTGGTATGCCAAGACAAGCCGCTGGTTTAATGTTCCCTCATTCAACCGATGGTGTATTTGGTTCTTGACGTGGATCATGCCTGTGGGGATGGCAGCTGCGGCTCTGGCGTTGGGGGTTGTGAAGGAACCTAAGGAGGCCTTCTCTACTTTTGGCAAGGCGACAGTGGTGTATGAGCTGCCCTCGGGCACGTCAAGGTCTGGCCTGGCCGTTGTGGCTGCGTTGCCTCAGCTCCTTTTGGGTCTGCTGTACCTTTCGAGTAACGCGCTCCTCACCTTGTTCTACCTGTCTCACGAGCTCTCGCAGTTTACATCGGATCTGCTTCCTTTACGCGTATCTTCAGGGCAGCCACTCGGTTCACAGACGACCTCACTATACCTCACCTTGCCTCGACCCATATCCTGGATACTCTTCTTTCTTGTTACAGCCATGGCTTTTCTCCTCAGTCAGGGCATTCATCTCGTGTCTGTGGACGACAGCAAGGGATCGACAACGGGAATTGGCTTCAGCCCCCTACCGCTACTTATCCTCCTCGTGCTACTTGTGCTGCTAGGTCTCGGTATTGCTGGCCTAGCACTCCGGCAGGTGGATCCCCGTGGTGCCGTTGAAGGCGGAGAACCGGCCGGCAACCCACTTGCTCTAGTGGGCGGAACATGTTCGGCGGTTTTGAGCGCACGATGCCACCGAGTACCGCGAGAGGGCGGCGTTGAAACACTCGAGGTTCGTTGGGGCGTGGTGCGAGAAGGTGTAGGAATGAACGCAGGACACGCGACCTTCTCTGGAAGACCTGTAGGGGATATCATGGTTGGGAGAGCTTATGCTTGAGGCGGATCAACAGATGAATTTATACTAGCCGACTGGTTGTTTCGGGAACTATTGCATACTTTGTAGCGGGTTTGATTATTCTTGGGACGCTGATGGTGTTCTGTCATAAGAGCGCAGTTCATAATGTAAGCACGGACGATATACCTGGCGTCTATTGGGAAAGGGTTTAATGTGAAAAGTTCGAATAGTAAAAGATTTGAATTTCCTTGGTCAGCCTTGCCGTGAGTTTGAGGTAAACCCGCTATGAAGTTGAATACACCAGTTGGACGTGCTCCCATGTGTATCTTAGCCTCAAGAGGCCCAGTAGGAACGCTTGACTAGTATGGGCCTGATAAGACAATGCCCAACAAAAGAGATCAGGTTACACTTGTTGGTCCAGTCATATGTTGATATCTTATGATATGAAACGACTTGCTGGACAGAATCAGAGTTGGGGCCGATGATCGGCAACTAAGATAATCAAAAATGGGCCATGGGCTCACGTCGAGGTAAAGAACGAACACGAAACGAATCACTCAGAAGAGTCAAAGCCAAAATGAGGAATAAACAAGGCGAATGGTGTCAGCAACAGATGATTCAGACCCTCCCCCACGTTATACACAAGTGTCAACCGTCGATGGCTGGTTTTCAAAACAATTAATTATCGTAGTGAGACGACAAGGTAGAAAGAGTCAGCAAAGAAACAAATTCTCTAAATTCATCTCTCCTTGAAACAAAGAAAGAACCCCTTTGTTCTCGACCTTGTTGGATATGATGAAATAGATGGTCTAGAAGCTGAGTTGAAAGACACAGACTTCGGTTAGACAGGGGTAATCTCTTACGCCACAAGTGCCCAACTAAAATTCAGCCCCATTCATCCCCAGGCCCAAGCCCAGGTCATACGATTCACTGCCACATCAGCTCAAAAAGTCGGGCGTTTCTGACAATTAGCGGGGTTATGATTGGCCGGTCGTCTCTTTCCCTTCCCATTCGGGATCTCCTGCCTGCCCAGTCTTCGGTTCGGAAGCAGTTCACTGTTTACCTTGAGTGGCAGGTGCGGGTACAGTAAGTACTGCACTTTCCTTTTGGTCGTTGAAGATGACCCCACAAGGATACAAGCGGAAGAGTTGGAGCATGGCAGGTAGGTCAGGTCCACTCCAGGTACCGACGTGTTGGCTTAAGGAAGGAGCACCTCCTTTGAGGCAGCCTACTAAGGTAAGTACTTAAACACAAGGTCTGCTCTTTCAGTCTGTCTTCCTTTTGTCTTTGACTTTCACTTTACACATAATTTCATATACATACTGCCTTAGTTGTACAATATCCATCCGTATAACTCAACTCTCCTGGGTCCACCCCCGACGAACAACCTCGACTAATACTTATATCCTACGACTACAACCGCTCTCACAATACCTCCTCGCTTTCAGATTTAACAATACCCCAAAAATGACTTACACAATGACCGCCCACCTCTGCAAGCAGATCTACGCTTCCTGGCGTCAGACTCGACAACCTTCTCTCGACCTGGCTCCCCCAACACAGACTCCTTCGTCTATGTTTGGTCGTCCCATCTCACGATCTCCTTCACCTCCTGCTCAGCGATCAGAGCGACGCCCCTCGAACGCTTCAGACTCAGAATGGCACCCCAACAGTCGTCACTAAGGAAATACAAAGACTTAGACTTATGATTTTGCCTTATTTACCCATGACTTATGAGACGGGTCAGTTTTTTGCATTCGGGACATGGACACAGCATCTGGCGCACATGACTTTGTTATACTGGAGGGGGTTTGAAGCCTTCGCCAAACTTCCTCTTTCACATTACGCACAGCCTTGAAATTCTGGAAGATCCCGGCACCTCTCTTTCACGCCTCTCAATACGGAAATATCAAACCCTGGAAAATTTCAACAACAAATCTGCCAACAAACTCTCCCTCAGACGAGATGCATCAAAAACAGCCCAGAATCTGTGGGGCCAGTATGACACTCTGGGACCACAAGGTGTCAATCACGAAATCTTGTGCCAGAGTGGCATAAGATATGCACCCCACGTCCGCATGAGAAGACGGTCAAAATTGATATGCGAATCGTCATTTCTTCTGATGGAATACAAAATTCCGAGGCGCGATGTAGACGCAAAGACTGGACAGAGACTTTTCAGATAGAAGCTTTTCTTTTTATACTTGTCTTTTAATTGTTCAGTGGTTGAATTCAGCAACCTCCTTTTCACACTAGATACCCAAATGAAACACAATATTCTGAACCAGATACCGTTATCTATCCCTCGATCTCAAATCTCTAGATTCCTTCAAATCTCATCTTTCAACCCCTGGCAACCCATGACTCGAAATCGATAACAGTGGCATGACCATCTGCCCACATTGAATACCCCCTGTAATCGGGGTGCGCCGTTGATCCTTTTTTGCGGGGTGTTTAGGGGAGTCGCTGTGGCTGGTGAACTCTAACCTGCAAAAGGAATCTCGTCACGTGCCATCACGACATGAACTTCAAGACTCAAATATGTTCAGTATCAGCATAGACACTATTGACCAAGTATTGATGATCTAATTATCCTTGGGCAAAAGCCAGGAGCCATCGTGCATAAACCAAGCATAGAGCCTTACCCCAGATTCTTCTTCAGCCTTCCCCAGATTTCAGCACGGCTGGTTCTCCAACTCACTCAGCTGGAGCAAAAAGTGCTTTTCCTCGGATCGGATCGGCTCCCCTAACCGATCTCACGTACTTGGACCTGACCTATGTCCGAACCGAACTGTTCGGCTTTAAGATGTTGACCTGCCCTGCTTTATCATGGGTCTATGAAAAGAAT